CAAGAATATATGAATTGTGTGCCATAAAAATTACACTATGGAAACTTCTTTCGAATACTGAATACAAATTCAATGGTAATACTTACGACATATAATTAACACGAGTTTTTTGTTAGTCAAATTTATGGTCAAAGCTGACCTCAAAATACGTGCAAGCCTTCTAAGCCCTAAAGGAGGTACTACCTGTTGTGCTCGTAGGTTATTTGATCATGTACGTAATTTAGTTAAAAATATTGAGTGGTAAACATGATGGAAGAAATTCAAGTGCGCAGCCAAATCTTTGATTTCATACCTTTTTAGGAGACTAAAAGCGAAGCTATGGCACGTTGTACCACTATCCTAGCTACGACCGCTATAGCTAAAGCTATAGCAAGTGTGCATGGTCCAAAAACGACCATATTGAGTGGTAAACATCATGCAATCATTTGTACACATAAATTTAATCCAAAACGACCACATATATAAATAAAATAAATTAGAAATCCTAACAATGTAGCATCCAATCTATCTTGGGTGGTTGTTTTATCTTGGAGCATAGGCCGGTTGGCGACTACTTCAAGACGACTCTCACCGACACTCATGATGTTGCAACCAGAAAAAAAATCATTGATCCAATTAGTTAAATGATGGATCCTCTTTAGTCCTTACCTGGCTAGTGTTTTTGGTTAGGCATTTACTTTTATCTTTTTCCTATAAAAGCGCTATTCCTATAAAAACACTATTGTAAATAGCTTCCGTGATAGCTGACATAGCTATAGTGTTCTACTATTACAGCCCCATTACGAATATGAATAAAATATATCAATGTATGGTGGTTTAAAACATAAAGTAGGTTTACATAGTATGTTTGCTATTGTAAGTATGTGAAGCAAAATTAGAATTTGATTGATTTTGTGCTCTCCCTGAGAAATTCTTGCTTTTCAAACAGGAAATTTTGTTGTACAAGGAACAATTTGAAGCCGTCATTAAAGAAAATACTATTCTTAAGAAAGCCGTGGCAATTCAACATGAACGCCAAAAGGAGCATGAAGAGAGAAACCAGGAGCTTCAACAACTAAATCAGTTGGTTATGCAGTACCGGGAACAAATTAGGAATCTTGAGGTTCAGTATTCTTACTGCTCTGCTATTCCCTTTTTATCATGCCTCTGATGTACCTTGGGAACACGGTTGTGGTAAATGATTTTTTTGTTTCTTTCCACTTGTGTACAGATAAACAACTACGCCTTGTCCATGCACCTCAGACAATCTCAGCAGGGTAACTCGATTCCAGGGCACTTTCATCGGGACATTTTGTGAAACCAGAAGCCAATACAAGGTTTCCATAGCATGAGGACAAGTTGCAGGTCTTGTTGCGAGAGGCTATGTTCAACATATATCACCTATACTCAAGATATTATAGGCAAGTGATACGATAGCTTTGATATATGGTGATGTATACCTTTGTACCTCTGTATAGTGTGCTGATTGCCCTCCCGGTCAGCCCAGCATGAGTCGTGCTGTTGTTTAAGAACAGACATAATGTGATGAAGTTTAAAAGAAAGGAGAAAAACACATTTGATTTTTACAGAGATGTGCGGTTTTTCATTCTGTGCCGTGATTGCAAAATGTTCAGTTTTGCTCATCCTGTGACAAGGAATGTGTGGCTTTATTACTGTATAGTGTTCATCATATAACTGTTGCATGCTGCACAAGTTATTCAAGTGTGGTGCGTTGTTTACTTGTCTTGTTTTTAAGTTATTCAAGTATATGTAGCTGTCGGGCGACAACGTGAATCTGTTGAGCCTGTTGAGTAAATGCATGGTAAGAAATTGTTCTGCATGTACTCCCTTCAGTTCCTAAATGCAAGTCTTTTTAGAAATTTCACTACAAACTACATGCAGATGTATATACACATATTTTAGAGTGTAGATTCACTCATTTTGCTCCGTACGTAGTCTATAGTGGAATCTCTAAAAAGACTTCTATTTAGGAACCGGGGGAGTAGTTTGATAGGCTGCATATCACCTGGCTGCATCAGGAAAGCAATCTTTCCTTGGTGTTTGGTGGCCTGCCTTGGCTGGGCTGATGTGGTGGCCTGCCTTGGCTGGGCTGATGTACTACACGGTGTTTGGTTGCATGCATTAAACAATTAAAAGTTTAAATCTACACATGGGTCGCGTCTGACACGCACGGAGTGGCGGCAGCTACACATGATTCCATCGGCGACACTAGCATCATTTGTTGCACGGGAAGTCCGCGAGAAGGGATGAGTAGGAGGGTGCTGAGGCAGAGGGCGGGGAGGAGAAGTGCGGAGTCCGAGAGAAACAACACCGGCGGTGACGGCGAACATGACAGGCATCTGTGCAGCAAGGTTGACGATGATCAGTGAGAAACAGAAAAAAGCCGCTCCAAATTTCATGTCCTTTGAATGCTTTTGTTTATATTGAACTTGCCATGTTCGGTTCTTTGAATGCTACGTATATGTTGATGTACGTTATGCTACTTTCACGTTGCATTATTGCATGGATTTAGAGTTTCCACATGAGGGGGCGGCTGTGGACGCAGAAACTTGACAGGTGACACATGTTCATGGACATATAGGGATTTAAATGATTTTTTTTCAAAACTATGTTATTTTTGGTAGCAATTTCGGAAACTATAGAACGTAATGCAAAAAAACCAAAACTAGTAGCCTGTCGGCCATTCTTTGGCCGAAGTAGTACTTTTCGGCCACACTTAGGCCGAAGTAGTACTTTTCGGCCACACTTAGGCCGAAAAGGCACTTTTTGGTCAACTCTAGGCCGAAATAGACTTTTTGGTCAAGTCTAGGCCAAAAAGTCACTTTTTGGTCAACCCTAGGCCGAAGTTGCATGGCTCATGCTGAAATGTATTTTGTCGCCACCCGTTTCCCGCCAACCCCTTCCCGCCATATGTTTCCGCCACCCGTTTCTCGCCAACCCCTCCCCGCCAATTCGTTC